TTCTCTGACTCTAGAAGTGTTCGCGAGGCAAATGCGATTGATCTACTAATATCTTTTTTTACTAAATGACATAACACAGCTCCAAAACCAGTGTTGGAAGCGTCACATTCCAATGTAATTGGCAAGTTTGGCGAATATGGAATTAGCGTTTTATTTGTTGACAAAAGCTGTTTTATTTTATCAAATACCTCTTGTTCTTTGTCCGACCAACCCCAGCAAGATTTAATGCTTGTTAATTTATGCCGACGAGCGGCAATTCCATGTAGATGTGGCTAAAATCTCTCGTGATAATTCACAAGTCCTAAAAAAGATTGTAATTGGTGTATATTATTAGGAGTTGGTATCCTTCGAATAGCATCTATTTTTTATTTCGCTGGATATATTCCATATTTGTCTATTACGAAACACAAAAAAGAAACGGATTCATTTAAAAAACGTATTTTGGCCCATTTTGCCTTCATACCCACCTGTTTTAGTTTCATTAGTACTTTTTTACGTTATTCAAATGTTCTACATCATTTTTCCCCGTTATGATAATATCGTTAAGATATACTCCGGTCATTTGGCAGTCTTGTAATAAATTGTCCATATATCTTTGAAATATGGTCGGCGCACTAGAAAGACCAAAAGGCATACATTGATATTGGAAATAACCAATGTGGGTCGATATGGTTAAGTATTCTTTTAAACTTTCTTTTATTGGTAATTGTTAATATGCATCTTTCAAATCTATTACCGTAAATTTCAATCCATTTTTTAATTTGGTTAAAAGATCATCCACCGTTGGTATAATATGATAATCGTACAAAATATATGGGTTTAATGTCACCTTAAAATCCGCACAAATCCTGATTTCTCCATTTGTTTTTCGTACGTTTACCGTTGGAGTGGCCCATGTCAACCGTTTTTGTGTTGGATCAATCGCCTTCAATATTTCTGATTTAACCAATCTATCGAGTTCCATTTCAATTGGTTTTCGTAATAGAAAAGGTACTCTACGAGCTGGCCATGATTTCGGCCTTGCAGCCTTACTCAAATGTATGCTAACTTCTATATCATTCACCCGTCCAGGCTTGTCATCAAAAACACTAAAAAATTCTGTTGTCATGCCAGCAATTTGTTTATTGGTTGTCTTAACCTTTTTATTTGTGATACTACGTATAGTCACTTGTCGTGGAATAAACATATTAAATGCCAGTATCCATGGTAGTCCAAATAATGGAATGTCATTTGAACGGGTCACCACAATCGGTAGTGATCTGCTTATCTTTCCAAGACGAACCCTCACCATAGTTTCACCAAGCACATCTAGCGGTTGGTTACCATATACTGATAAAGGTTTGGTTGGTCCGAGTTTGGGTCGGCCAATTTCATCCCAATATTGTTTCCCAATCACCGATACCTGTGCCCCCGTATCATAGTCAAATTCTATAGGTACTCCATTTATCCAAACAAATATCTTTGCACTATTTCTACCAATTTAAGAAATATTATTAATTGAATCTGATGAATCATTGTCATCTATATGCATAGCATGTAACTTCTGTCCCTTACAATATTTAGCATAATGCCTTACCTTGGCAATTATAACATTTCACCCTTGAAAACATTGAAAAGGGGGATGAGTTCTTCCACATTTTGAGCATTTATTAAACTTATACATATCATTATTGTTAAATTTATTGTTATCTCTAAACTTAAAATTATTATTATTGTTATTGTAATAACTAAAATTACCCTTTTCTTTGTTATTATTATTATATGAGTACTTTTGATTCGAAAAATTTTCTTGATTATTCTCTATCTGCTCCTTAGGTTTATTGACTTTTTTTACCATCATCCCTTTCCATTGCCAAAGCCATATTTAAAACCTGTTGAAAACTCACCCTTTCTCCCAAGTCATTTATTCCATCTGGAAATCTAGTGCGAATATCTTTCTCCAATGCACCCATTTTGATTCCAGCCACCATCTGATCCCTCAATCTCCCATCTAGGTCAGATTCAAATTGACATTCTTGAGCCAAATTTTTAAGTCGAGCTGCAAACTCCGCAACTGATTCACCAACCCCTCTTTCTATCCGAATAAATTTAATTCTCGAGCTAAATAATGTTGAAATAGGCTTAAAAACTTTTTTACCCACTTCAATAATCTCTTCATAATTAAGATCTTTCAATATTTTTGGATAAACAAAGGACCTCATTTCTGCTAAATTACTAATACTCATATACGCAAATAATATTTTTTTTTGGTTTCATTATTTATTAATATACCTCTTATCTCCAACATATCATCAATATATTCAATGTAATCAGCAAAGTTATTTTGATTGTCGAAGTTATCAAATTTGATCATAATGTTATCAATTTTTTCTTCTTTATTCATAATTACTTTATTTTTGTCTTCTTTGTTCATATTAAAATCATCGATACACAAATATGGATGGCTTTATTGACTGGCAATCACCTGATAAATATATTAATATAATTGATTTGTATCTATGACATTTATAACATTGATAAAATATGTATGACATTTATAACATTGATAATATATAATATAAATCTCATTTATAACATATATATATATGTATTATAAAAAAACAATTTAAACTAAATATATATTTTAAGGCTATACAATTTAAGTTAAATAAAAAATATATCAATCAACAGTGAAACTAATGATATTTGATAAATAGGTATCTATCTAATAATCTCATTTTTTAGCTTTAAGTTTTATTGATAACAATGCCTCATAAACTAATATTATAAATTACTTCACTTTCTATATTCTTAACAATAAATCATTTATTAAAATTAAAATATAATAAACTTCTATGACTTTTGCAAATATCTTAAATTTTTAATGTATCATAATTGTATATCAATAATAAATTAATGTGAGGAATTACATTTTCATGGTAAAAAAATATATATAATAAAAACAAACAATGAAGCTTTTCATATACATACCATTAAATAAATACACAAATTAAGAAAATATAATATTAAATGTAAAACAAATTAACCAATAATGAAAAATTTTAATAAATGCAAAACAATTTTATAAATATTAAATTTAAAAATAAATAACAAATGCAATACAATTTATTGCATAAAAGGTAGAGTGAACTTTACTGAATAACACACATCATGAACTAGACAAAATTATTTATAATCCATTTACAATAGTTTGTTCATGTAATATCTGGTATGACCTACATCTTTAAAAAACATTATATAAATATAATTCATATCTTATGGATCATTTTTTCATATAGGAGCTATAGTTATTGCCAGACTTAGTTATAAATAAAGGAACCCAAATTATTTTAAAGGAATCTTAATATAATATTTATAAAAGCATATAAATTGAGCAATAAGCTTATGATATTTGAGTATTTAAATTTTATGCTTAAGAGAAATTTAGCCAATAGTTAAGATAACTTTAAAAATTAATAAGACGTCATACGTCATAATAAGCGCAATTACCCTTTATCGCTATATGAAACAGCAGAGCTACGCTTGGACTATCTCATCCCATCTAATTGGGTTAAGAAATTTGGGGGTAACCTATGAGATGAGCCCATCCACAGTTCTTGGGCAGGCTGCAGTTACCTGTGCGCGCAAGAAGCGAAACCACTTGCTTAAACGCCTACGGGAAATAAGAAGAGAGAGAAAAGCCCGTACCCGATTAAGTAAAATGTAAATTATAGGGAGGGGTATTGGTAAATTTTAAGTTTATGGTCTATATTGAATTTGTTTATTTAATATAAATATGATATATTTTTTAAATAAATCTGCCTTACTATTTAAGAATATTAGATTAGTGAGTTAAGTATATTTTGGATAATTATATCAAGGTTAGGTACATGAAGAGTTTTATAAACAAATAAATAAATGTATATTTACCATGGCGGGAGGAAAGTGGTGCTTATGCTGCAGGGGGGGCTGAGAGATTTGGAGAGTGCAGGTAGCCTGATTTGATTTTTAGAAGCTTTTTTATTGAGCTTTTATTATTGTTTAGACGTATGAATTGTTCCATCGTCAGATTTAGGCTTATGATTTCTTTTATCGTTCTGTATAGCCAATATGACTTGTATTTACCGTATGTTTTACCTTCATGAGACTCGAGCCAGATTATAGCTTCATGGACTATGTTTTGTCTGAAGTTTCTGATGGTGTGACCAAAGAGTTGAATGTGCCTTTTTTTGAGAGTAGTCTCGATCGGGACGTTTTTTGAGATTCGCCATAGGCTGGCATTCGAAATTATTCTTGGATAGAAAATACCGTTGAGCTGGCGCAGACAGCGGTTTACGAAAACTTGTATTTTCTTTGTCTGAGATTTATTTATTTCCCAAGTGTCGCTGCCGTAGAGGAGGACTGGAATGACTGTGGCGTTAAAAATTCGGAGCCTCGTTTTGACTGAGAACTCTCTTGCTGTCCATAGTTTGTAATATTTCATAAAGGTTATTTTGGCGTTTTTTAGTCGGGCTTCGATTTCACCGCTGATATTTCCTTTATTATCGATAAGTACGCCAAGATATTTAAAATTGTTAACTATTTTAATTTCATTTCCCTCAAATGTTAAGTTATTTATAGACGCCTCTGGGGATGGCATAATAAAAGTTTTATTAAAGTTGATGGTTAAACCTACTTTGTTGCTATGAAAGCATAGACTTGTAAGTAAGTCTATTGTCTCATCTCTTGATTTGGTTTAAAACTAGATCATCTGCGTATGAGATGATTCTTAGGTGATTGATATTATTATTGTTTGATGATATATCAACTAGGTTCATGGTGCTCGTGATTTCCTTTATAATTTTGTTTATGATTATATTGAACAAAATAGGTGATAGTACACAGCCTTGTTTTACACCTCTTTTAATCTTGAAGTAAGGTGAAATTGAAAAGACGGTTGATATGTATTTTTGTTGAGGTTAGGTTATCAGCTGTTTCACATGTGTAAAAAATTTCAAATGTTCTATAAGAATTTATGTTCAAGCTTATTACTATTTTTACATTTTATAGTTTATAGCGATTTCATCAACATAAATATTACGAATCCCGTATATTTGTTTAGCATAGATAATTCAAGAGATTTCATGAATATAATCACAGATAACAAATTTCTGGGAATTACATTAGATGCAGAGTTAATACCATTAAAAGATCAATTTTACATATTTCAATCTGAAAAATTTATAAATATGGCAAAAAATTTGGGACCATCATATTTGAGGATGGGTGGTACAGCTGCAGATATGATAGAATTTATTTTAGATAAATTTAACAATACATTTGATCAGAAATCCTTAGATTATGAAAAACAAATTCAAATAGAATACATTAAAAATAATGATATAACTTGTAATTCAATAAATTTTGATGAGTGTAATGATAAACAAACCACTAATTTTAATAATCTTTCTACATCCATTCCTTTACATCAAAAACTTTGGGATATGATTAACAATTTTATCATAGCTTTAGGTCCCCAATGGGAATTTATTTTTGGATTAAATGCTATGATTAGAAAAGAAAATGGAAAATTATGGGATCCCACAAATGCTCTAAAATTATTGAAATATTCCCAAAGCCAAAATTATCATTTTCACCTTGAATTAGGAAACGAACCAGGAGAATATCCAAATGTTTTTAAAACCTGGATAACACCTGAAGATCTGGCAAATGATTTTAAAACATTGAGAACATTAATTATGCAAAATGATAGTAATTTTACCTATTATTACATACTTGTACAGTGTCCAAATTTTTTTCATCGATATTAATCCTATTTTTTTTATTTACCCACCTTAGACCTGGCTTAGATCTAATAAATAAATTATTAACTCTCTTGTGCATAGGTTGAATAATTTAGTAAAAGCCTAGTAACAGAAGAAAAAATAACAATCAGTATTGGCTTGATTCCCAATATTGGTGCATTACATCTAAATAAACAAAAACAATATTGTGTTATTTTCTCTTTGTACCCCTTGAAAAGGACAATAACACCATTATTTTTTTTAAATTATAAATTTTATGCTATTTTACTGAGTATCATTTCTCTTATTACTGTCATGGTAGAGACCACTGGGTAGGGCTTAAAAAAATAATATATATTTTTTATATTAATTGTTATTTCAAGTTTGAAACTACAAAAGAAAAACTCATATTTAATGGAAATTATTTATCATTTTTAAATATAATGTTAAAACTTCATTGTTTCTTTCTAACTAGTATTGTTAAATTACCTTTGAAAAATGTAACTGTAACTTGTTAAAATTTTTGAAATTCAACAACAAAAGTAGCCAAAATTTAACTAGTTACTTTTTTATAACAGGTTGAATATCTATTATGGCATATCACTATCTTTATATAACGATTTCTCAGTCTTAAATGACTGTTTATTAAATATAATGTCTTATTTACTTTAAGTGCTGTAGAAAATTTGTTTAGTGTAAGGAAGCTTATTTTTGGAGAAAGCCTAGCACAACCCTATTTAGCTACCAACATTAAAAATATTTTATTGTTAATAAAATATTTAAAATAATATTATTATGGCTAGATTTTATAAAGAATTATTTTTCCGGTTCACAATGTAATTATATTATTCAGAGACCATGCAGGTCGAACCTGGATATACGAGCTGGGTTGTATTTTAAATTTTTTTAATATATCATATTTTAAATTGTCATTATTAGCTATAAGAATTAAAATTAAATGTAACATATTTAAAAAATATTCGGGTCGGGACTGAATATATAAAACCCGAGCGAGCTGAAATTTTTGTTTGAAAAAATCCAGGTTGGGCCGTGCAAATGGTACCTCTGTAGGTCTCTGATATTATTTCATTTAAATTCCTTAATTAAAATTTGTAAATCGCAAAATATTTTTTTATAATAAAAGGATGAATAATTTTTTAAGTTTTGTAAAAAAAATTATAAGGTAACTTTTAATGTAATTAGTTAATTTTCAAACTTATTTTTCTTCTTTATATTTAATTTTCTCAGCCCCTTCCTTGTCATTGCCATATTTTTATATAATTTTTTTGTACTAACTAATTAGTCAAATTATTTATTTATTTCTGTAAAATCAACTATAAATAATCTATTCAAAAAAAATATTTTTACAAAGATTTAACAAATTCATCGTCAAATTCAAATAACCAAACTTACAAACCCGTAATGATAATTGGGCCTGATTTAGTAAGAAATAATATATTATATTTATAGATACCAAAAGTGTTACCCTAAAAAAAACTTTTTTAAGTCATAACTTTTTTATTTGACTTAGGAAATTGTTAGGTTTTTATTTAATATTCATATTTTTCTGTTTTTTTTTATTGATTACCTGAGGTTCATGGAACTTAAAATATAAGAATAAGCATTAAATTTTATAAAAATTAGAAGTAGACACACTATTTTCATTTCACCAATTATATTTTCTTGTTATAAAATAATAATTTTTTTTTTATCAAACCAAGGACAGAATAAATAACACTCGAGATTCTCAATCCTACCTAATCAGATTTTTAGATCGATTGGCCCAAATTGAACCAATTAAAAATAAATCGAGCATATTGGACAGGGTCTCTTGGCACCATTATTACATAAGTGGTCCGAAAGCTAAAGCCGAACAATTCATCGATCCCGACATATTAGATACATTGAAACCCAAAATTGTTTCGGTTAATCAAGTCGTCAAAGATGGCCCTTTGCCAGATTTGCAGGTTTGGTTAGGCGAGGGAAGCTCGGCTTGGAGCAGCGGAGCTCCCAACATAACTGATAGGTTTGTTTACATTTTATGTGAGTAAACACTTTTGTTTATGGATTTTTAAACTCTTTTTTAAAGTTTTTTTTATTAGTTCTACAATCCCTAGGAAAGTATCTTTTTGCTAGCTTTTCATTATCACAAGCACATCTTAAATATAATTTAGCAATGTTACTAAAGACCAACACAATAATACAAAACTACAAAAATTAACTAATATCTTATTTTTACTTCAACTAAATATTTTAAATTTCAAATATTAACAAATCAATTTTTATTCATCAACATTATTAACAGTATAAATTTTTTTTTAACAAAAATTAAGAAGTAATTATCTTTTTAATTAAGAAAAATTATTATTTCTTCTCCCACCAATCAACAAGAAGCATCATTATTGATTGACAGTTATATAAAAAAAATATTGTAAATTTAGACTACTAGGACATTTACAAAATTTTGATTATCACGCATAATCATTTATAATTAATTCATTTTGTTAATGGGGTTTACCTTTTCTTTTTATTTATTTTCTTTATAATTATTTATAACCTCATTTTTTTAAAAAAAATAATAATATTTAAAGTTTAGTTTATTTCTGTTTTTTTCGATTTATTTATATTTTAAAAAAACAAAATCCCAGTTTTTTATGCTTCTTTTGCATTACCTTAATTATCATATAATCGGATTCTGGTTTAAGTCTGACCCGAAAAATTAATATGGGAATAAGGAAAACGCACGATTTTTTTTCAAGGAAATCGTAAAATTACAAAGCTATAGGAAAATATGATAATCTTAGCGTTTTATTTGATAAATAATATTTAATGAGAAGCATTAAAGAAATAAAAATTTAAAAATTTTTTCCCGAGTTCTTAAATTCGGCTCAAATTAAACGTAGAATTTTTTTTCTTAATCCGATCTGGTTAGAATAAAAAAATATTTACTCGCTCTTATCTATGGATATATCTGTTCTTTCTAGGCATAGCTAGAATTTTTTAGTGGGGGGGGGGGGTGCACTATGGAGGTCTTTAGGTCCTCTTATTGTAAGCTTTTGACTATGTTATATTTTTATAAAAAATAATTTTGGTTTTTCAACCATCTTTTTATAAATTTTTTTTTCTTCTAAATTTTTCAATTATAGTCTTTATTCTAACCCTTCATTGCACGGATGAAAAAAAATCACGCGAGAGAATAGATGGAGTAACCTCAAAACCCCTTTAGAAACACTATATATTATTTTATAGTTTTTTAAAAAAATATTTTAAATAAACTATAAGTTAATGATTTTAATTGTTATTTTAATAATTTAATGTTATTTTAATAATTTAATGTTATTTTATAATTTTATGAAAGCTTTTGCCAATTGAGTTAAAAATATTCTTAAAACTGACACATGTTATTAAATACCATAAAATGATATAAAAAAATATTGATTAACTCACTGATACATCATGTTTATCTAAGATTCATATATTAAATATATTTTTGATTAATAAATTCTGTATAAAAAAGTGCATGCATAATATTCCAAAACAAATCAAAAAAAAGTTACACGGATAAACAGATATGGTCTTTTTAACCCCAAGCTCCAAAAAACCCTTATTTATGGATTACCAGCAAAAAAAATAAATAGAATTGAACAATTTTTTCATTTCGTAAATTATTGTGAAAAATTATCTAATTTCAATGTTTTTTTTAAAAAAAAATCCTTAGATGTTTTAATTAATAACAAAAAAATATATAATGTTATGTTATCATTTCGCAATTATGACACCACATTAGCAAACACATAATTTGATAATATATCTTTTCATTATGTACTACATCTCCAAACTTCATTTTTTTTTTGTTTTTAATTCCCCTAAACCTTATATATTTTTTACAACTATGCTATCTTGATTAGTGTTGCAAATTCCCTCCATTTGAGCCCAATATTTTCGCCAGAAAAATATTTTCTAAGCCTCAAGATTTGACTAATGGATGTCCAAACGTTAGTGCCGTCTATGAGCAAAATCTTCAGACTTGCTTAATATTTTTCTGGATAAAATACTGAGTTAGCCGTTTTTAAAAAAATTGGCTCAAATGGAGCGATTTCGGATCACTATTCTTGATTACCTTATTTCGCTTTTTTTTACAGTAAAGTTTTTATTTGTAAAATTTGACATGCCTCATCCTATTCCCATCAATATATAGAGTAATTTCTTAGTGTAACTGTTAGCGTTTAATGTGTTTTTTCTGCTATGTGTTATTTTATTAACTTTAGATCATTTTTTTTATTCATTTTTAATATAAATTTAAATCTATGAAAATGTATTTCGGCTAGTTTAAAATACCTAATTTATACATTTCAGACTTACCGTTAGCTTTTAAGTAACTTATATAAAAAATTGATATTCCAGCAAAATCATAAGCACATTGAAAGCTAACATAGTATAAAGAAAAAAATTAAATAAGTATAAACAAGTTTGGTAGTAGACCTAAAATTCGTTACATTTAAAATTCTATTTTTTATTACTATTATTATTATTAAAAGGTACATTGCTGGGTTCATGTTTTTAGACAAGATAGGCTTGTGCGCGTTAAACAATGTCAAAGTTTTTATCAGGCAAGATTTATACTATGGTCATTACTCCCTCATAGGATTGGATTTGAAACCGAATCCAGACTACTGGATAGCCGTTTTGTTCAATCAATTGGTAGGGGCCAAGGTCATCCCTCTCCAATTTCTAGATATCTACAGACATAATTTTGAAAGCGGAGGATTTGACGCTTACAATCAAGGTTTTATGTGGTTTGCGACCCCAAATCTATTATATTAATTGGCATATCTATGTCGGTCCACAACATCTAAACATTTATATTGTTATATTGTGTCGAATAGTTATAGTCGACCAAAACCGATTCACCCTTTGACAGATAAAATAATTGAGATTCAATTTTGGTTTTTATAAATTCGATGTGAATGCAGCGGACTATTTCTTTTTTTTGTTAGCGAGGCTATTTAAACCGGTCCGATTGACTGTCAAACATAGGGGCATTACATTGTTTAAATTTTAAAATATAAAATGATTTTAAGATGCTCCAAAATCTAACGCTGTTAGAATATATGCCCATTGCTCGAAACAAGATCCTGGTGGGATCGTTTTCTATGCCATGAATCTAAACGATAGGGAAATTACGATAAGCTTTAATAGACAGATGATTTTCGAAAATTACGGTATACACATATATATAACATATATTTTAAAATTTTGATGATTCATTTATTAAAGGTATACATACACAAAAGTCAGCTTTAGCTCAAAGACATTTCAGCCAAATACTTCGAAATGCCTTTCAAATTTAATCTAAATGCCTTTAAAGGGCGGACTTCAATGTATGTTTTAGGCGATTTTTAAAAACTGCTAACTCAATATTTTAGCCAGAAAAATATTGCCTAAGCCTCGAGATTTCGATAATATATGTCTTGACCTTTGTGCCATCTATGAGCAAAATCTTCAAGCTTGCGTAATATTATTCTGCATAAAATATTGAGTTAGCCGCAGAGTTGTTAAAGTAGCTCGCTACTTGTAGCGCGCTACTTAGCGCGCTATCTTTTTTGGTAGCTATAGCTAATAGCCGCTACTTTTTTTAAAATTATTTAATTTTTTAGCGCGCTACTTCGCTACTTTTAAAAAATATAATGAATGTAAGTATAAACATGAAAATTTAAATATAATATCATAATTAATTATAATTTTTATAATTTATTATTTAATTTGGAAATTTAAATATATTTTCAATCTGTGTTAATAATCTAAAATGGCATCGCCCATGGATATCCAAATTCTTGAAAGTGATTCAGACATGGAAGATTCAATGGAAGAAAATGTACTTAATAGCTCTAATAACGATTTCCCATTCCCTAGATTTGAAAAATTTTTTAAAATAAATATTAAAACAAAATCTGGATTCAAATTCCTGTGCTTAAAATGTAAAAAAAATATATCATCAAATAAATCGAGTAGCTATAACCTGAAGAAACACCTAAAGGAAATTGTTATTTTTACATTATAATATTATTTATTTTATTAGACTGTTCACGCCAATTGCTATAAGGAAATAGAGAAACATATAAAAAAATTTGGTATAGGAGAATCTTCATTCAAAAAGACAAATACTATCCAAACCAAATTAACTGATAATAAACATGCCAATATTTCAAAATTAACTGATAAAGTAATTGTTGATTTTATTATTGACACAGTTCAGCCATTGTCCTTTGTTGATAATCCATCATTTACTATGATGATTAAAACTTTATCCCCTGGCACAACAGTTTTATGTCGCCAGACACTTATGAATAAAATAGCCGACAACTTCAAAGTGATGAAAGATGCTCTATTAGTAGAGTTATCAGATATATCTTATGTATGTACACCGGTAGATAGTTGGACACATAACAGAAGGTAAAAACTTATTTATATTTATAAATTGATCTGATTAAATATTTTTAGAGCTTCCTTGCCCTCAAGTGCTAGTGTCGAGAGATTATTTAGTAAAGCAAAGCTTATACTTTCTGATAGTCGCTCTAGACTCGGCGATGATAATATTGAAATAATATTATTATTAAAATGCAACAAATTAAAATAAATATTTATTTATATTGCTTATTTTTTTATAATCTAAACTAACTATATTTTTATATTTATAAATGTTGATTTTTATATATTATTTATTATACATTTACATTATATGCAAAAAAAAAATAAAAAAAAATTGTTTCATTTGTTTCTAAAATTTTTTTTATAAAAAGTAGCCTAAAAGTAGCTAATAGCGCGCTACTTTTTTTGACAAATAGCGAAAGCGGTAGCGCGCTACTTTTTTTTGACAAATAGCTATAGCGGTAGTGGGCTACTTTTAAAAATAGCGTTTAACAACTCTGGTTAGCCGTTTTTAAAAATCGGCTTAAATCGAACCGTTTAACAACACTAGATGTATGTATTCCTTTTTAAGTAAACAGTGTACGTTACTATATTTAGATATTATATAAAGCAAATAATTTGAATTAGCGTTACTAAATAAATATCAGTAGCGTCACCGTAGGGGAAGGGGGGGGGAAGGGGCTCAAGCTCACTGAAAAATTTGAAAGGCTCTCTCAAAATTTTGAATTTTATTTTGATGTTAACAGGTAATTTTGGAAATGATTTTAAAAAAAATTTTTTGAGCCCCGTGAGATTATAGAGGTTAGTAACGCCCCTTAATAAAATACATTTTTGGGTATTTTGAAAATTAAAGCGTGAAATAAAATATGGATGGCTGAGCATTAATTTGTGAAGTAGTATGATAAATATTGCTATTCAAAATAACCAAACTAAAAGAAAAAATGGGAAAGATTTGTTTTAAAGAAAATCTCACATTTAATTTATTAAGTTTTTGGCGAGAAATTAACATGGATTATTTGTCTATAAAAAAAATCTAAACAAGACAAACATATAAAGAGCAATTTAAAAAAATTAATTTATGATTTAAATATTAATAGGGTGCATTTTTTCGGTGCGGTACTGATCATTTTTTTTTAAAATTACTATATTTATCCACCCATTTCAGATTTTTTAAAATTTAGAATTATTAAATATTACAAAGATGGTTAACCAACTCAAATGTGATCATACACCTTAAACGAATATATGCACTGATTTGCAATGCTAAATGTATTTTACCATTTAAAAGCGTACGCTGCATTCATAATAAGCTCTATTTGCTCAAGCGATGCGAAATTGATCGTTAATGAAATCACAGCTGATTCGCCATATCTTATAATACATTTTGATATATAATATAAGTAAACAGCTGCCGGCGATTTCATTTCGTTGTGTATTTATAAATTATAATATACCTATTATTGGCTTGCTTTTTAAATTTACCGAGAGAATAATTTCGCATAGTTTGAACAAATGACGCTTATTATAAATGAGGCGGTGGTCATATTTTGTTTTACACATTTACATCGAGAGAAAAAAATTCATCATTTTCTAGGCCAACTCAATAAAACGGATCGATTGTCTACCGCAATCTACCTTGGTTCAGAACTTCATCAATACCTGTTAACGCCGGGGCTCACTTCGTCTACTTCAGATGTTAAAGATTTATTATCTCGCGTTTCTTCCCTCAACGGAAAAACTTTGAGGATATCTAGGAAAGGCTTTTTGCCGACATTAAAACCAAAAATTATCAAAAACGACGTGAAAACGAGAGTTAACTTGGACATAATTCTTTCAGCCTATTCTTACGGATTTTTCGTTTACCCCTTAGCTAATATTGAATACTGTTTGTAGTCGTATATAAGAAAAAATAAATTTATATATTTTTGTTAGCGAAACTTATAGGGGCTTTAAAAAAATTATTACATTCTTTAATAAATGATTCCTGATGTTTTATAGGATTTATATTTGTTATTAATTTAAATATAATTAAATAAATCTGTGATTTTTCTGCGGGCAATAATATGATGCCACATTGATATATTATTTATACCTTAATTTATATCACTAAATATATTTGTTGTTGGTTAGGGGTAGCATTTGCCCTTTACATTTATTATAATATACTATATTTATTATTATACTACCATTTATAATTATTTAATGAATAAAAGGATTTAAAATTTTTATATATTTGTTTATAACCATAAAATTTGTCGATTTATTTATTAAGTATTCCATTTATTTTTTTCAAAATGTTTTAAAAAACTAACAAACCAATTTTAAGAGTCAGAAGATATACCTTACTTACTGTATCTTGATAAGCCTTCATAAATTTTTTGAAGAAAAAAATAATTAATTAATCAACATGAGGCTATGAATTTATATGCAAAAATAAGTTCAAATAATAATTTCTAACCCGATAAGAAAGAAATATAGGATATGCGTTATTAATATTTATTTTCCTATGTTGAATGATGTCTTTGCCCATCTTTTAAACACCATTAAATTATATTTTAAAAATTAAAACAAATGTTTTTGTTAAGGTAAATTTTTCTAGTAGATAAATGAGGTTTAGCCTCTGATAAAATTCTTCAAATTTTATCAAAATGGGATTTTAATGTCAAAAAAAATTTATGCAATATTTTTATTTTCTTTTAACCCCACTCCCTCCCTTTCCTTCAAAGTAAGATACTTACCTGTAATCCCTGAACATTTTTTTTCATATAATTATGACAGCAAAAAAAAATGCAATTTGTGTTGAGTTTCTCTAGGTAAAATTATACGCGTAAAATATAAAAGTTTATGTATTAGTTTTCATTTTTTTTAGCGGATTACTCATATTTATTACGGTTAAAAGAAATTGTGAAGATCTTTTACTTTATCATTCGTGAATATTTATGTTTTAATTTTATTTTTAAAAAGATTAGCAAATTATGTGAAGGATATCGCCATCAGCGGCAATGCAAGTGTTATCTATTCGTTTTTTACAATAACAAAATTATCCTGATCAGGGTACCACTATTTTATTCCTCTTATATATCAAGAATTCCAATTTGTAGTTTTTTATTTTACATTATCGAATATCTTTTATTGATATAAATTATAATCAACAAATTGCAACAGTATATATATACATATTGTTTAAATATACCGCTAAAAAATTTTTTAAAGATTATCTAAATCTAAATGTCCAGGTCGTCATCATCCTCCTCGATTCCGGGCTCGTCCAATGGTTCGTCTTCATCCACATCTTCGTGAAACTCTTCCCTTTCTTCCATATCCAATTCCACCCTTTCCCTCCGAGCCACCATTTTATGGGGTAACCCCGTACGGTATATTTGTTCGCGAACAATGGATTCGGAATGGGTAGCCATAAGCTTGAAAGGTACTTTTTTCTGTAATAAGGCCAGTTGTTTCGCCTCTGTGGTTGGACCGACGTTGAGAGGAGAGACGTCTGGTATTGCCGATTGTCGAGATTGAGCACGCACGGGTATTATATTCAACGGGTTTTGGGGGTTATCGGAATGAAGCCAAGTTTTGAGGCCTGGTTTAAAGGTTACAAGTTCTGTAGTCTTAAAATGATTTTATGTATTTTTTAAAAAATATATATATTTTAGCGAAATGAAGTTGTACATATAAAATTTTAAGGAAAAATTTGTTCTTTAAGAAACCGTTCCAGGTTTTTTGCCTTGTCGTTTAAAATGAGTCGTGCAGGTAAAACTCTCTTCGTCAACTTTGCCAGCGGGTGGCGATGTTGAGGATACATTGATAAACGCCGTGAAAATTTGTTGTAATTGGGTGATGGAGTGTGAGTCTAGGATATATTTATCGACCAAAACTACAATCGTGGAAAGCACTTTATTCTTTTGGTAAATTTAATATTTTAAGCTAAATATAGTTGGGTAATTACTATATTTTTAGCCGTTTAAGCCAATTTTTAGATGGCTATTAAAAGCCTTAATGTTAAAAGATTTTCTCCGGTACGCGCTTGTAGATTAAACCAAATTAGCCCTTACCCAAATATAGTTTCAACTTTAATCTATTTTTGGCGTAACTATTCTAAGTTGTTGAATAATTCTTTCAAGGTGATTAGAATTTTTTTTTTAAGAAAAAATAGCTTCGGACTTAGAAATAATAAAGATTTACCTCGGAGATTAAAGAGGACAAGTATTTTAACAGCATGATAGTTTTGTTGAAATCTTCCAGTACCGGCAATTCGAAGGAGTTTATAAATATGGCGTGAACGTTACCAATTTCATCGGATCGGAAAAACTTTCGTAACCCTTGTTGCGCCTCATTTTCTGGGTAGAACAAATTTACGACATTATTCGATTCCGTTGTCATCAAGTCGTTTCCGTTAAAAATTTTCAATTTTCCCCGATCAACAAAACTTCCGAAAAAAGAATCTAATAATAATGGTTTATTATTATTCGGGGTTAGCGTCTTGTCGAATTTCATTTCGAAGTCTAGGTAAATGATTTTTTCGTTTTCTTCTAGTCGCAGGAGGAAGCTGCAAAGGAAGGAGTGTAGCAGTGATAAACCTCTACCGTTTGTAAAGTTTTCTTCGATCATAATGGTTGGGAATAGACCCCTTTGGGTGCAAATCAAGTTTAAAGTCATGTTTTTCCTCTTTTTGTGAACGTAATGGATAAAAAAAAACATTACGGATAAACTTATCGGAAGGGGGAAAAAATGCTATAAGAAATACATTTCAATTACAAGCCCCAATGACATAATAATGCTTATCTATATTGGCTATTCATTCATTAAAAATGAAATTTGAAGAGTCGTTGAATAGAAATCAGATGGTGGTACGCTTTTTGTTTCCCATAATAACAATTTTTATAAAACAAAAATGTTTTAACACTTTTAATGTAAATTATTTTCATGAGAAACCAAAATAGTATTTAACTAGATAATTTGTATTTATACACATTTAAATGAATGAATCGTCATTCGTTTTATATGTCATTGATGTTTCTATAGGACGCGTGGCAAAAAAATATGCAAATCATGATTCTCTAAACATACCTCTTCTTTCTAAATATTTGTAATACCTCGTCCAGATTCTATGGTCAGAATTAGAAACGTTTTATAGGTCTGACCTGAACCGATTCATTTAGAGTAATTTTTTTTATTAATCCTATCCCGATTTAAAATTTTATTTTAGAAACATATCCAAGACTGTTTTACCGGTTTCCCGTTCTAAATCGCTAAAAACAAAATAAAATTGCTAAATACAAAAAAATCGTCGAATATAATTCGCTAAAAACAAAAAAATTGCTACTAAAAACAAAATCAGAAATCTCGCTTATATCTCCTAGAAAATTGAAATTAATAGATGGTAGAAGAGTAAACTCTTGTATTAAATTTGAATTTTATTTGTAAAAATTGCTAAAAATGGAGAAAATATCAAGATTCTCAAAGGAAAAGAAAATTGTTTAACAAAGATAAACAAGGGGGTTTTGTACATAAAATCAAAATGTAATTATTTATTATTCTCTACATATGTTAACATAAATAAAAAAAAATATATGATGTAAAATATCTTATCGTATTTTCCCCGAAAATCTATTAAGGAAAATGATATTTTAAAAAAAAATTGTTTTATTATTACAAAATTTGTAAAATTTATTCTGGTCCCATTACATCCTCCAACAATTCCTGAATCTCAGAGGCCGACAAATCAACCATCGGCCACTCTTCAGCGTAATAGGCCCTGGGACTCGCCTCCGGCGTTTCTTCTCGAAACGGCTCAATAATCCCCACCGGTCGCCCCATCGCAGTTATGGATGGATCTTGTTGCGGCATTGCCCCTATCGTCAAAGGCGGCAAAATGGTCCTAACTGGGCGTGCGTCGCTCCTTCCCGGGCTTCGGCTTCTGTGGCTCGTCGTTTCCCTATTATCATTTAAGTCTTGCCTACGATTTGGCCCACGGGGGCACCGCATTCGCAAATGACTAGGCGAACCACACAAGTAACAAGAACGTCTCCTCCTCGAGCGCATGCTGAGGTGCCGGGGCTCCGGCAATTCGGAGTGATCTAAATTGTTCGTTATTATTCCGGACACTCCCCTTTGGACCGGGGGCGATCTACTGTTTCGGCGTATTGGAGGCGAATGGTCTATTATGCTTCGGTAATTCAAAGGCGAGATCGGTCGCCCATCCTCATTAACATATTCTCGATAAATACTTATCCTAACGGTTAAATTCTCCCAATATATGCACCGATGCCTCCCCGACATTCCCTTAACCTCCAACATTATTAGCACCGGTTACCATTATTATTATTGATCCCCCTTTTTTTTTAAATTTGATTTAATCTCGGAATTGCTGAGGTATTATCATCTTGGGTTAATTATTATTATCGATTTTTTTTTATTAAATTTGATTTAATCTCGGAACTGCTTAACTCGAGAATCACGAAAATTTTTTTTTTATATATATATATAACCCCTTAACCTCCAACATTATTAGCACCGGTTACCATTATTATTATTGATCCCCCTTTTTTTTTAAATTTGATTTAATCTCGGAATTGCTGAGGTATTATCATCTTGGGTTAATTATTATTATTAGTATTATTATTTTCTATGTGCTTCAACTCGAGAATTGCTAAGATATCTATCCCTCTCTCCTCGCCGCATCATGGCTAGATTTCAATCTTTCAGACTCTACTCTCTTCCGTATCTGTTCTGCGTGTCTAACTCCTTCCTTTCCGTCCACGAATTTTACTCTCACCATTTTATGCCCCATGTTCTGTATAATTATTCCTGACTCCCATTTTCGGGTACCTCCAAAAATTCTCGCCCATACGGTCTGACCATTCACAAATTCACACTGATTATCCATTGAATTTTCCTCCTGCGCCGGTTTGGGTCTTAAGAAATCCAACTGAATACGAGTTCTACGGCCCAAAAACTTTTCTGCTGGGGACAATTCCTCTCCCTTTCGACTATTGTTATA